TTTTTTTTTTCCATACCAAAATTGGTACACATGTGCAAATTAGGCCCCAATTTATAACAAACAAGGGAGAAATCAAATGCCATGTTTCTGTAAAAGTTTATTTCATTTCAACTGTTGAAGCCCCATTCACTCATGCAAATATGTCAGTTTGTTCGAAGTCCATGAAAGTACCCTAAAGCTGATTTTTGCACGCCTAGAATTTGATCACTTGTCCTAAACCTATCAAAGATTATAAAACAGAATTTGTAATGGAAAAAAAGATCAGGTGTTCCGGGCAATTCAGTTTCCCTATGTTTCCCCCTGTCGCGCGCTGATTTGTACACGGTTTCGCTGTTGTTTTCATGTCTTTTTACGAAGCTCTTGAGGTAAACAAGCCATATATTTTAAAACATCACATGCCTTTTCGATGTTTTTTGTTTTTACAGATAATAAATTAAATTATTTAATTCGCTGGATAGATATTTCTTGATGAAAACGGTATAGTATTGCTTATAAGACTATATTATCCGTGACGATCTACTGTATTCACATGTAATAATGTACCTGAGTGATTTTCAGATATTTCACATACCTCTGCTTTAATATTAGGGGAAACATTATTTCCTGATAGACAGGAGAAACACAGGGAAACTGAATTGCCCGGAACACCGTAATACTAAACCGCTTGGAAGAAATGGGGCACACGCGAAACACCGAACAATGCCGCTTGAAAATTAAAAAACATAATTAAATCATTTGTTTGCTTTCAAAAGGCTGAATTAGCAGTAAGCTAATTCTTACTGCTTTGATCGGCTTAGTCAAAGTAAGTGTACCTACGTAAACGTAAATGATGGCAGCATTCATGCAATTTGGATATTACTGAATCTTATACTGTGATAGAAGCTAACATAACATGACATAACAATAAACCGCATTTTCCAGCCTAAACTTTGGGCTGTTTTTTTTTTTTTTTAATTATGATTTAAGCTGCGCGTTGTGACGATGTCAGTCAGGGGTTCTGTCATAAAATACTACCTATCGAGACGTGCTGTGGAGCCTTTCTGCGCATGCGCAGTTCCACCGTTTTGGGATTAGGGTTAGGTTTTAGGGGTTAGGGTTAAGGTAAGGGTTTTAGGGGGTTAGGGTAAGACTCAGGGTTAGGGCTATCGATTAGCACTACGGTAGCATTTTTCGACAAGGCAGCATATACCGACACAACACCGGTACCATTTTTTACGCCAGTGGAAAACCGACACGAAAGAAGTACCATACTTTTGGCACTTTATGGAAGTACCGAAAGTACGGTACCTGGTGCGGTGGAAAAACGCCCTATATTATTCACATGCATCATCAGTAAGTAAACATATCACAGGTATAATTAAAAAAATGTGTCAACCAGAAAATCACTATTAAAGAGCCCCTACAGGGGCCTCAAGACAATAAGAGATAATAAACTTACTTTATCATCCCATTCAGCCATGTGTGGTGCCATTTCTTTGGCAGCAAAGTCAAAGGCCACTTTCTGGAACTCCTTCTGTTCATCTGTGAGTCCTATTGAAGCTGTAATCAGATGACACTGCTACAATCAAACACCTTCAAACGCCGCTACTTAAAAACCTACACAATGTCTGTTCCCTGCGCAGCTGTAGGTTACTAAATTTATACAAAACATCAATTTTATATTTTATATTTAATATTCAATAAACACGTTTACTAACGTTACACATGTCAATATTACAATAGGATATTCTTTTCCGGAGTACTCTTGGTTTTTCTATAAGTTTATCACCAAATTACAAAAACAACACATTCTGTGATTGATCCAGATGTAATAGCTCGATGTTAAAGGGGCAAGAGAACTGCTTGCTTGCTGATATTAAACTGATGAAAGGGGCGGTTAGTTTAAAATATTTCTTAATCACAGGAGGTTACAATACAGCCGACATGAACGCCGAATGGCTTTGCGTTTCACAATTTAAAATTAACACACGGAATTTGTTTTTTTTTGCGCAAATATGTGAGCCAAGTCAACGTTATTAAGCTCATTTAGAAGCTTTGCAAACTGGGGTAAACCAGTTAGATTACTGAAAACTCATGAATTTTATATGTTGGTGAAACCAGTACTACCCACATACAGAAACAGAACGCCACTTCAATTAGGTACTCTTCATGTAGTTCGTTTATTAAACAAGTAACAAACGTAACATGCGCATTTCATAAGTCCACCTAGATCACATTTGGCTACATGGTCAACGTAAAGTCATTTGACTACAGGACATTTCGTAACCTTGGTTAACAAGAATTCCAAAACGGATGCAACGGTGTAAAGAAATAAGGCTTACGGTCTATGCAAGATGCAATTCCTCGCCTTTGTATGCTACTAAATACTAAACCAATACTTCTACTAGTACATTGCCTCAACCTAAACCCATTTAACAGCCTTCCAGCTAACGCCATGACTTCTAGGGATCTTCTGTTCTGTATTGTGGGTAATGTAGTTTCTGTAGTACATTACCTGGTCAACACGACAATACTAGCCAATGACGATCGTCACTGCATACCCCCAAGGTTATGGGAAATGTAGTCTCCGAACCATGATCTAGCCAATGACGATCTAAAGCATATACCATCAGTTATGGGTAATGTAGTCTACCTGGTTAAATTGGCCGATAGAGGGAGTAACGTTATCGGTAAATTAAATTTATCCTTTTCGTTTTCAGTGATTACAGATCTTCTTTTAAAAATTATTTTCTCAAAATTTTCTTAGGACTACACTAGTAAGTATATTTTTTCCCTTGCCTCCACTACTCTCGATATCATGAGTTATGTTTGTAGATTGAGTCTCGTTGATCTGTATCGTTTACTTCCCGCATATTAAGAATGAGGAGTGTATTTAATCTCGTTTGCAATGTGCAGTTTCAAATTTCATACATAAACATACGCCGAATAACAATGGTCTTGTTCTTATGAATTTGAAAAACACTGATTACTGCAGGGCTCGTTACTTGGACATTTAAACAGCCAGTCCATTTTGCTTGCAGCGTACGATATACGTCACATACGCAGCGACCATGCTTCGCGGAATATGTAGGTCAGTCATGACGCATCATACGTAAAAATGTATTTCTCTTTAAAGCGATGTTTTTTGATTGACCTACATATTGTATGAGGTTTAGGTGAAATAGATTTCAAAATCATCTTAAATAAAACTTCATTACTCGGATCGTGGTTAATTTGAGTTCTTCGAAATCTATAGATGCCATGCCGTAATAACTATATACAATACAAATTCATAATAAAGGCCATTTGTTCTGTACAATAGAATTTGCGACATGCCGCCTAAGAAGCGTGCTCGAGGACGACCAGGTAAGTACATTTTAAAGGGAACATCCTTTTTGGCATGTTTTTTATACTCGCTTGGTATACATAACAGCATACATAGCGCACTTAATCATTGCATAGTGCACACAACGGGCAATTTAGAGATGTCAGTTCACATAACGCCCTTTTTGCATTGCGGGAGGTAACCCACACAACACTCCGTAAACATGCGAACTCCACAGATGAAGCGGGGCTATGATATGAACCCTCAGGATTTAAGGTGTGCAGCTGCAGTGCTACACAGAGCCACTTAGCTGCTGATATATGGTTTTTCTATATTAAATCAGAGAAGTTTGCAACATTATTCTATATAGCGCCCTATAGTAACGTTAAAGTATGGAAATTGCAAGAATTCAGACATTTTCTGTACATGACTACATGAATGTGTGTCACGCACTTAACCAGCAATTATGGTGAATGACACCCATGATCCATTACAAGACAGCCATGGTTTTATTTTAAAAACTACATTTACCTATCTAACATGGTGAATCCACAGCTAAATCTGCAGAGGCCACTCCTGACCAGGTTACTGAGGAAACAGAGATTAGAAGGAAAAAGACTCAAAAGTCAAAGTCTGCTGGGAAGGAAGGGGCAGACAGAGATGCACCAGTTGGTAAAGCGGCCTACTGCCACTGGCTGATGAAGTCAGAACCGGAGAGCCGATTTGAAAATGGCGTTGATGTTAAGGTGATCTCCACGCCAACAGGCTAGTCAGCCAATCAGAATGTGCAACACAAATGTGTCAGACTGTTTGTTTGTTTGTTTGGAATCTGCAGTTTGGAATTGAGGACCTCAAAGCTCTTCCCAATCAGACAGGATGCTGGGATGGAGTTAGAAACTACCAGGTGAGAGGAGGGTGCTCGTCCCCCCCCCCCCCCCATGGTTTGCGGAGTTTGTTTCTCCTACTGTACTTGTGAGACACAGCAGTGTCTCCTGATGTTCAGTCGGTGTCTCCTTCCTGCAGGCTCGAAACTTCATGAGGGACATGAAGGTACAGCAGTTGGCCTTCTTCTACCACAGCAACTGTAAGGAGCCTGGAATCGCTGGGCTCATGAAGGTGTGAATGAGAACTGTCATGAGCAGACACCACACTGGGTTGTTAGATGCTGGTCCGTCGCAGGCCAGATACGCTGTGCCAACAATAACGAGGGAAAATAATAATCATGATATTATTAGAAAATAGATTTGTCCAGTTATTTAAAATTCAAATCATGCAGCCCTTAACAAATCTGTGTTTTACTTGCTTTAGGAAAAAACAAACTGATGTTCTAATTGGCCCAGGTTGAAGCATTATTATTTATTATTTTCACAGTATGATTTTAGTCTATTTCACAGGCTGTGTTTGTTTTATAGATTATCAAAGAAGCATATGTGGATCACACCCAGTTTGACAGGAGTGACGCCCACTACGACGCTTCCAGCAAGCCGGAAAACCCCAAGTGGTATATGGTCAGGATTTTCTGTCTGATTTTATATTAAAAAATAGCATAAAACTAGCTGCAGCCTAAATTGAAGCCATCTGTGTTTTGAGTGTGTGCGTGTTGCGCTTGCTGTTATCCCCCCGCGTCTCGTCGGATCCGTCGATACTGGAGCTCCTGTCTAGGTGGCCATGTGCCAGGTCCACTTGCACTCATTTTTCACATCCTCCCATGCTGCCATCCAGGTGGACGTGCGGTTTGAGAGGATGACCAAGCGCTTTCTCCCATTGGCTGAGCTGAAGAAGTACCACCTGCAGCATAAGGCGGAGGGCGGGGCCCTCGGAAGCCTGGCTCTCTTCACTAGGGCACGCCTGTCCGTGCAGCCTCTCTCTGCAGGTCGGTGTGTGTTACCATAACCTTGTAGGACCTTTATGTGTGCGGTGGGATTAATGATATGTATGATTATGAATGTTTACAATATATAACAGATTTCTCAGTGCATATGTGTGTGATTACTTTATATATAATGTATATACACAATTGCACATAATATAACCTATATATATGTTTTTTTTGTTTTGGGTGATAATTATCGATTGGTCACTTGAGGCACTGAGAATGGTCTTCGATCCACGACAGACCTGTCAAATACAGCTCTGGAGAAAATGAAGAGACCACAGCACAATTTTTTGTTTCACTCATTTCTCAGTTTATGGGTTTGTGCCTGTGAATATTTTTTTTTCTTCTGCAAACTGCAGCCTGGTTCTTCTCTGTTTCTCATTAATGAAGGGCTTCTTCCTTGCTTTATGGGACTGCTTCTAGGACCCTGACATGAGCTGTCCTAGCAGTGCACTTCACACCTGCACTTAATGTTTCCCATTCCTTTAGAAGGTCACTTGATATCACCCTAATATCCTTAAGAAACTGTCGGATAAGTTAACAGTCCTCTCTGGCATTAGAAAGTCTCTTCTGCCCTCTACCTGGCTGGTTTCTGGTTGTTCCCAGTATCTCCTGCTTCACCTTGTTCTTGTGCACTGCAGTCTTAGAAATTTTGAGCCTGGAAGCAACCTGCCGTGTAGCCTTCTGCCAGCAGAACCAGGATTAAACCAGGATTTAAAAATGATTAGATTTTTTTTCATAGGGAGTGGTCTTTTAATTTTTCCAGAGCTGTATATCTACTATCTGGAAGTGTGATGGGAGAGTTAGAGGTCTATACCCTTCAATAAAGACACACACAGACGTTTTGACAGTTGACTGCCCACAGTGTTTAATCAGCGAAGAGTCAACATGGTCAAAATACAAACTGCATTCACTGCACCGGATCCTAACACCTGTTACACGCTGGCATGAGTATTCCACATGGCCGTAGCATGTACTGCTGCTGGTGTTTCTGATTCCTGTTTTGTTATTCTGCTTTTTCAGAAGAGTTTGACTTTGTGCTGAGTCTGGAGGACAGAGATCCCATTTAGGGATGCAGGCCTGTTTCCCTCCCCTGGACAGACCATGTGATGGCATCTCTTCAAGGGCACTTGCACTCTTTATAACAGTCTCTAGCCTGGGTGCATGTGATTGCTTTTTTTCTTGAAACTCTTCTTTTAACTCTCAGTCCGATAGTGTGTTCATTTTCCATGAATGCTAAACATAGCGACCAGTTATAAAGGCTAAAAGCTAGCTCACCTGTTACAGGCTGCATAGATCAAATTATAAACATACATTTTCCAATGAAAAAAGAATTGTAATGCTGCAGAGATTGTTTGCTGAAACCTTGAATGCCACAATTAAAGCACCGCCAGTAATTTTGTCCTGCATTAATGGATTGTGCAACTTGATTTTAGCACATTCTTTCTGGTATGAAATTTACTCTGGGCCAGATTTTCTGGCATGGGCAGTAATATGGTATTTGGTTTGCTCAGAAAACCCCTTATATTCTAGGACCAGAACTTCTGAAAATGTTCAACAGTGGAAATAAGATTCCAGTTGGAATGATTTCTGGAATTAAGGGCTGTTCCCGTTGAAGTTTTTTTGAAATTGTGAAGGATCAGAGGCGTTTAGGAGCTTAAGCTAGCAAACACTGATCTCATGAGAAGCTTTCATTATAAAATATGTATGCACACCCACAAGGGGGAGACACTGAAATGGTCTGACCACTGACAGGACATTCACTGTTAAGGATTGAATACAGCGGTGTGTTGGAGAAGTTATACATGATCAGCATCGAGCAAAGCAGTGTTTAGGAGTTTTCACTCCTAAAATTAAACAACTGTTGTAACACTGAAAGCCTGTAATAAGTATGCAGATCACTAGGTGTTTGATCATGGCTCGAAGCAGTGATAAATTACAGCAAATGTGCCGAGATCAGAAGGTTATCAAGCATTATGAGCCTACACATGATAATAATGATGGTGACACGTATGCAACTTATCACATTGCTAAATTGCAAAGAATCCATTGCAGTGATGCCATGGAATGCAAAGATAAACATTACAGTCTGACTAGCATCCTGTCTGCTTCTACACTGCTTACAAGATGAGCTTGTATCTAAAAGTGGACACTCTAGTTGAAGCCAAAAGTAATTAATATTCTGCAGTCAAGTAAAACAGACAATTTACATGCATTTAAAAATAGACATTTCTCTTAAAACAGTGTAGCCAATGACTAAAAAAGTCAATGTATTGGCTACAGAGTGCTGATGTTATCTAAAAGATAACTACTGAAGAAGTGATTACGAAATCTATTAACCAATTAACATATACAGAGTATGAAGAATGTCCCGTATTACACCTGTTCAGTTATTCATTGGGTAATGTCTTATAAATATAAAATATAAGCTTAAATCTGGTTTTATAAAAATACCATCAAAAGAGTCAGACAAGTTTGTTGGAAAGTTAACAGGCACCACGGACCTGGTGTTTAAGAATATGGGCTTAGAGTCTAGGGCCCAGAGCATCCCGAATCTGCCCAGTAAATATATACAGGTATATAAAGGAATAAAATCATTGCTTTGGATACAAGCTTCAGCTCTGCTTAGCCACAGAATAAAAAAGGAACAGCATAATCACTGTCAGCTATACAAACCAGATAAAAGAACTTTGTGGAAGACATGTTATTAATATATAAAACGGCTGATCTGTAAAAATGATTAGTTCACACAGTCGTAACACGGGAAGAAAACAAAACGTGGAATTTGCTGTGGGTAAGGTCACCTTTTTGGCACTCTGCTGCTGCCATAGAGCCTGGCCACTGGGCTGCAGGTCTGCAGGCTCCACCCACACCACCTTCGCAAGCCAGCTTGACCCTCGTCCTCCTCAGATGATGAAGGAGGATTTGTGTCGGAAGCCTCCCTACAGAAAGACATTAAAAACAGGCTATGCTCCTCACTTCTTGTCCCTCTTCCTCTGATGATCTTATCGCACAACCGATACTCAGGCACACAGTTATACAGTAACGTGTCTCTTTAATGGTTTAAAAACTCGAACCCCGCTGGTGCGGTCTCACCTCATCTTCCGGTGTGATGCAATCCACCGCGTCTTTGCTCTCAGAAGCTTTGTAGCTGCAGGAAAATTCATCATCGGTTGCATCAGGTTAGCATTTATGGCAGAGTGTACGTGCCCTGTCTGCCTTTCTAGAAAAGATGGATCTATATAAGACTATCGGGGACATCATTTGTCAATCTGCATGAAATGCTTTAAAAATTGCATTTGTTTTTACATTTTGACAACATATTCAAATTACACAGTGACCCCGTACTAAACAATGCGGAACATGGATGGATAGATAATTCTAGTGTGTTGGAAATGTTAGGATGTTGCCAGAACCATTTGTACCGTGTGGCATTTCATATGCTATTCTAACCAGATGTTGGTATGTTACATGTTAACGCTGTTGACTGTCCCAGCTTTCAAATGAGCTTTGGATAGTACTGAAGAACAGAATGCTAACAACATGCACACATCCCGCTCCTCTCACTGTCCTGACTCACTTGTCTCTGGCTTCGCTCCTCTGGACAAAATAGCCTCCCTTATAGGCGTAACAGAAGCCCAGGGTGACGACCAGCAGGGCGCCAACCAGCAGTAGCGCACCCAGAACCTTCCCCACCAAGCTGACTTCATCTGAAAAAGATGCAGACACAGGTCTTCCCTGGACATCTATACTGGGGGATTTCGAGCAGCATTTACCCACAGAACCTCTCTGGGCATCTATACTGGGGGATGTAGACCAGTATGCAGGCACTGGAACCTCTCTGGGCATCTATACTGGGGGATGTAGACCAGTATGTAGGCACTGGAACCTCTCTGGGCATCTATACTGGGGGGTGTGAAACAGCAGGTAGGCACAGAATCTATGTTATTATTATTTTCTGCCCAAATAAGTTCCATATATCTTTTTACATATGTGTTGGTTGTGTTGACTGCTGCCTGCAAACCAAATTGCCCCTCGGGGACAATAAAGTCTATCTATCTACTATCTTCTTTATTAATTAAGTCATCAGGATTATTCTTCCACCGCTTCTCCTGGCGAGGGTGACAGTTTATTCATTTATTCATAGCAATAAGCATGAGTGCAAATTAGATCAACACACTGTTTAAGCTCCCTCAGAACATACATGTTTACATGGACATACGTGTGTCAGTGCCTGCGTTGAGCTGCTACGCCCTGTGTACACTCACACACTTCCATGGTCTGTGCAGCACATTCCGCGTGTCCAGCTTCATTCCTTGCCACACAGTGGTACTCCGCCGAATCCTCCTTCCGCACCTCCCTGAATGACTGGGGAGGGAAAGAGACATTGACCTACTGTAAAGCCTGCCTAGGGCCCACCATCTCTCTACCCACCCCCTCCCCTCCAAACTCAAATCTCCACCCAAAAGCCCCGCCCATCTGCCTCAGCGGCTCACCAACTTGCCGGTCTCTCTGTTCAGCGTGTACGAAGAGTTCAAGAACCGTGGGCTGCTCCTGGGATCCAGGGGAATCTCCTCTTGGTTTCGGAACCAGTGGTACCGTGACTTCGGGAACCCCTCGCCCTCAGAGCAGCGTAGATCCACTGGGCGACCCACAGGCACCGCCCGGGGCACCCCACACCTGGGTCCTACTGGTCGCACTGCAGCCCCACACACACACGCACCTCAGCTGAACTGACGTGGCTCTCGCTCATGTGGCCAGTGCATCTCAGGTTACAAACCTCAGAATGGCTCATCAACGTTTCCATGGTTACCAAAGACGCCTTAACGGTTCAATGCTTTTAAAAATGCTGCTAAAAATAAGCACAATCAATAACGGGAATTCGGTAATTCCAGGGTACAAAGGAGAAACGTACCTCTAACAACCAGGTCAATCAAAACTTCATCAAAGGTCCTTTGGTCCATGTGGGCTGTGACCTCACAGCGGTACTGGGCAGTGTCCGAGCGGGTGACATTGGTGATCACTAGGGTCGCAGGTTCTTTGAGGTATGCTCTGTTCTCCAAATCCCCTGCAAGTCAAACATTGAGCCCAACTCCTACTTAGAAGACATCAGCTCCAATGCATGGCTGTGACTTAGACACTTAAACAGATTAACACAACCTGATAGGGCATCGTTCTAATGTCAAGGTCAACTTGGTTTACAAACACCATGTTAAATTTTATGAGCTATGATGACCTATGTCATAAGCTTGGGGCACCTCTGATTTAAGATCCACACAGCAGGTCTTAAACCACTGCAGATTTTTCCACATAGAAATGGATGTGCACTTACTTGAAATGTGTTTCTCAAAGTAAATATAGCTGGGTTTTCCATTTGTGATTTTCTTCCATTCAATTCTGGGATTGTTTGTGGAGATGGACTCGATCAGACAGGAGAGCTCAGTTGCTGGACAGGGAGAGGGGATGGATCTCATTTTCTCAGGTAATCACAAGCTGGAAACCACAAACCTTCAGTGACAAACATGCCGCTTTGCATGCACAGCCAGAGGCCTACAGCTCATACTTACATTCATACTCATTAGCCCACAGGCTGCTGCTTGTGGTTCTGAGTATTACAGCAAATGTCGTGATGACTGGAAAAGAAAGACAACTTCAAACCCACGTGCATTTTCCATCCATGCATATAAGCACCATGTTTTAGCAAAAACCACTCAATGACAAAGTCTTTTTGCTCACTGCTCACTGGAAACTATCCAGTGTATGCAGGGGACAAACTGTGTTGTACTTATTTGCGCATGTTATCCAGTACTGGGTCATGGGGGCATCAAGCCCACTGTGGGAGACATAAGACCCAAGGGAGGGGACACTCTGGATAGGAAGCCAGTCCATCACAGGACACACACACAGCAGCAAACCTAAATGGATGCCTTTGGATCACAGAAACCAGAGCACCCAACGAAAGTCCATACAACACAGCCAGAACATGCAAACGCCAAGGTCACAGAGAAGGGGTGCCCCCATGGGAACAATTCTACGCACCGAACCACCCCCCACACAAAAGCAGGCTTTACTCTTTTTTCTTTAAAAATCATTCCAGAAAGTAATTTTGGTAACATTTGATAACATTTTTAAGAATCAAAGAACTCATGCATAGCATATTATACTGCATTTATAAAGCATTATAAACATGGCTATAAATATTTACTAAAAGGCATAACACATCATAGCCATGTTCATTATGCGTTATGACTTCCTTATGAAGCTCTCCTCTATAATGCACTATAGATACCTTCCTAATGCAGTAAAAGCATCCATAATTCTTATAATGACCACTGTAATACATTTTGAAGGTATCCATGGTGCATTACAGATGGAAGCTTCATTGGAGCTTATGAAGTTTCTAATCAAC